GTATGAAATACTTGCGGTTACGCCATAAACTAGATAAATAATGGACAAAGCTACTGTGACATCACCCACTGGTTTCTGGACGACTATTTTAAAGCCTCGAGTTCAGCATTTTGACCATGGATGTCTTGGAGTTTTTGGAGCCAGAAGTGACTATATTTGAACGAGAGGATGGCGCTGTGGAGAAGCAAGGGGTGCATCTGACCCCTAGACCAGTGGTTCCCAACTGGTCCAGCCATGGGGTTCAGATTTATCCATAGTCATTAATTCAGAGTCCACAGAGTTTATATATTGAGCATCATACTTGGGTTTGGCCATGTCCTTGAGCTAGTTTGCTGTCTCTGTCAAGTAGCTGTCTGTTATTCACTCACTCTACAGCAGGAAACAGCACTTTAAAATAAAAGCTCTTTACCGGAAATTCACAGTATTTCATAAAAAAAAAGGATGTTTTCTACAAACTTGACACATTTGCGAGTCACTTGCGGTCCATTCAGATGGGAACCACTGTCCTAGACTGTAGCGATGCCTTGCAGACACCTGCAGTCACTCAAGCAGCCCCACCTTTAAATCTATGGAACTTTAAGTCTAAATAACTTAAACTGGTGAGTTATATAAAAATTCACCTCCTGTACAGTTATCACAAACGAAATCAGCCACAGAGACCCAAACTGTTTTAGTCCCAGGTATTACGTTTTCAGGTTGTCCATAGGTACGTACGTCTGAACGTCCATCCATCCGTCTGTCTGTCTCATTCTCGTAAATGTGATATCACAGGAATGGCTGGAGGGAATTTCTTCAAATTTGGCACAAACTTCCACTTAAACTCAAGGTCAAAGTTTACTGGGACCTCACCAAATAGTCCAGTTCCTAGTGGGGAGTTATACATTTTTGGAATCGTTAAAACATGAGGAATTGGTAAACTAATGTTTCCATTTTTTTCAAACTCTCTATGGTGGCCATTTTGGATTTTAAATATGGCGAATGTTTAAAACACCTTTTTTTTTTTTAATGTCAGGTTCCAAGCTATGTAGGTGTTTACTTTTGTTGGCTAACCATACATTTTATTTATCCAGGTATTCACATAAACTAAGAATGATCACTTGGATATGAATTAATTGAATTTGGTGGTGGAGGGTCAAAGGTCAAAGTCACTGTGACCTCATAAAACACTTTTTGGGCTGTAACCCAAGAATACAAATGCTAACATTTCACACAAATGTCTGATAGGATAAAATAATGAGGTCAACTTCACCTTGACATCATAATGCTCTGCAAAAACACTTTTCTGGCCATTACTCAACGCCATATCTCAGGAATAGAAGGGGAGACATTTGGTCGGATACTAAATAGGTGACAATAATCTTGGGTGTCCACCTTGAAACTGCGATGATTGTATAGATCTTATGTGCTGTCGGGTCAAAGATCTGGTTGAAGCATCCACATTTTGCCATTTTTATGAAATCTCGTTAAAGTCATCACTACATGAGTCTGGACAGACATGAATGTAAACTGCATCTTGATTTATTGGTGGAGGCATACCTTTTTTTTCTCCTATTGCTCAAGGCCTCTATCAGTTTACATCCTCTTCTGTACAGTATAGACATGAATTAATTTAATTACCACAGAATCAAAATACAATATTGACAAACATGAACAGATTTGATCCTCACTGTGATGAATTACACAACCAAGCAAATTTCAGGAGTCACCTTATTGATTTTGGTATTGTACAGGAATTAATAGAAACTAAGAGCTGTTAAATGGACCTTGGGGTGAGGTTGTTTAATAAACTAAATTACATATGTAGCTCAGCTCTTTTCCTCTTGCTTTGACTGTATCTACAACTACATTATAGCAGTGTAACATTTAGTGTATCTTTAGAGAATGGGATTTGTCCCATAGCCAGGGGCAGAAAGTGGTGAAATCTATTCTGGTGTGTGCCCTCATTTTGTTGTTCCTGTGTGTGTTTGAGAGCATAATTGTCTGGCCGACACAATCCCTCACACACACACAAACACACACTCTCTAAGGTATTTGACCTGTTTTGCCCCGGAGCAAAGAATAATTGTCTGTCCTGCATCCCAACATCCTCCTGTGCATTACCTTAACGCCAGTTTCTTGCCAAGTGCCAGTGCTTTCTGCAGAGCAATGTGTAAATTGTGTTTGTAACAAGTTACCATCAGACTAGGATCCATATTTATGAATAGACATTGTCTACTCCTCTATACATTGATTCTAATAAGAATTGCATCCTATGCTCTCACACACAGGAGGTCTACCTCTAGATGTTCAGTGAAAAATACTTGCTGACAGCATATATATATAAACACATACACATGGGGCGTCGGTGGCTTGGTGGGTGGGGCGGGCGCCCCGTGTGCTGGGCTGTTGACAGTCTGGTGCATGAGCTTACACCAGTTTGATTTCATACAAACCAGATGAACTGGCATTTGTCATTATGACACTCTGGCAAATTAAAAAGTAGCCTACATTATTAATCAGTGCCAGCAGCCTCACAGCGTAACTTGTATTGAATTTGTAATGAGCAATATGTCAAAGTGATGATTATAATATTATGTTTGTTTATAAACAGACTAACAGGGCCGCTAATGTCTAAGGCCATGAGCTGAGTACTGGCAACATGAAGGAGACCAAGTTTCAGTAGAAGTGGGAGAGAGGACAAGTGGCACATGTTGTGTTTGTTTTCTAGAAGGTTAAGGTGTTTTTTGAGGTGACGTGATGAGATGTAGCAGAATTACACTCTCAAGAAAACTAAAACTGTACCAATATGGCAACATTTTGGATTTGACTGAGTTGACAAAAGAGATGTCTTAACCTTCTGATCTTCTACTGCACTGTGAACCATCCAGACCTCTCAGGTCTTCTGGGACAGGTCCGCTTTGTGTCCCTAGAGTCAAGACTAAACATGCACAAGCAGCATTTAGTTTTCATGCACCACATATCTGGAACAAACTCCCGGAAAACGTCATCTGTCTCTCACTTCTTTTAAATCAAGGTTGAAAACATATCCGTTTGCCGCTGCCTTTTATTAAATCAAATATTTATTCATTTCTTGCACTGCACTATAATGTTAACTATTTAAATACTTGAAATGATTTTGACTGCACTGCAACTTCAATTCTTGTGTTTTATGAATGTCTTAGTATATTTTAACCTTTTATTTTCTATTCTTAAGTTCTTTACAGTGTGTTTCTTTTGTATCTTGTCTTGATGCCTTTGATGTTTGATGTAGAGCACTTGAATTACATTGCTGTTGAAATGAGCTTTATAAATAAACTTGCCTTGCTTTATCTGGCCGTGAGCAACGCTGTGCACGGTTTAGAGTTTAACTTTTGTTGGACGCCCAATTTCTATTTATTCCAGTTGCTCGCTTTGAAAGCGTCGCAATGGACGAGGAACAGCTGATTCATGAAAGTTGAAATGAAGTTGAAATCTTTGTGACACCCAGTGTGGTAGCTGATGGGGTGGGGATTTGTTTTGTTTTGTTCTTTCTGTGTCCCCTCTCTAAATTTGGAGGTTTTTGCAAGTCCATAAAGCAGTGCAGCCAAACCTCTTTATGAGTTCTTCATTTCCTCAGCAGCAGTTGGATTTGTTAGGCAGATAACTGACCAGCCGATCTAATCAGAGCTGATCATATCCATGGATGAGAGGAGCAGCTGCTGAGAAAACTAGTGTAGAGTACCCTCCGACAGTACGGTGCAATGGATAACTCAACAGTATATATATATTCCAACAGTGCTTCTAAAGGTCTAGCTACATAAATAGAAGATCAAATTCAGTCAGGAACACAGAATTTTTTATTTCCATTTACAGTTTTATATTAGGTGGTATGGCTCTGTTGTTGGGTCTCTCTGCCTTTCCTCACGCCTCTTCCACACGCCTACGTGGAAAGCCAAAGGCAGAGAGAGCACACCTCTCTGCCCTTCCACGCACATACATGGAAAGTCTTAAGGCAGAGAAAGCAAACCTCCTGCCCTTCCATGCGCCTACATGGAAAGCCTAAGGCACGGAGAGCAGCAGCAAAGACCCCTGGGAACAGAACAGAGCAGTGACGAACAGAAATGACATTGATAGTCAGACACAGCATGAAAAGGAGGAGCTGGGGTGGAGGCAGGTTGCAAAGTGGCTTGCAGAGGAAGCAGCAACAGTAGGCAGGTCAGAGCAGTTTAAATATGGCGCCCTGAATGAGATTCACCAATTGGTTGCATAGAAAGGAATCATGTGATCAGTCAGCTGCTCCATCAGTTGATTGGGCTGTTTGAGATCAGCTGATGTAGCTGGGATGTGAGCTGAGCGTGACATCATGTCCTGCCTGAACTAACGCTGTGCTCAATTTGTGGCAGCAGGTGTTATCATGGCGGGCAAATTCTGTATCCTGGTTTAATTTCAAACTGCTCTGAACATTTTTACACCGGCTAAACCCTAAAACACACAGAGTGTCTCTGCTCTTTCTGTGTGGTATATTTGACCTTTATGTCTGATGTTGTAGTGTGTGGTATTCACCAGCGCTCACTCTCCCTTTGTGCTGTATCAGTATGTACTTCATGGTCTTTTTCAAATGGCCCATTGTGGCATCAAGTCCTGGTTAAAGACCTATTAATTCTACACACACACCTCTTTCCTCTTTTGGTTCTGTCAACAGTGTTTTATTAAAACGGTCTCAGTAGTTTGTTGCCTGTGAATGTTTTCCCTCTACCTTCAGCTCCCAGTGGCGGCAGGGTGAGGTCCTTGAAGTCCTTTTTCAGGAAATTGGGCTTGACAGCAACAGCAGTTAGTTTGGCTTCTGTGTTTCCCCTTTGTTGTTGTTGCTCCTTTTGATTCTGCACTGGAATAATACAAAGAGGAATACAAAGTGTTATTAACTTTTTTTTCTCCCCTCCCCTGCTTCACCTCGATTTTCTGTCCTTTTTTATACTGTTTCTTTCTCCACTCTATTTCTTTTTCCATAACCTCCTATTTTCTCTGTCTCTCTCTCCATTCAGGCAGTACTATGAGATGCTGTACAACACTGCAGATGAGCTGCTGAATCTGGTGGTGGACCAGGGTGTCCGCTACACCGAGCTGGAGTACATCAACGCCCTGTCCTTACTCCACCGCAGTCAGACAGGTGTGGGGGACCTGAGCACCCAAAACATCCGGCTGCAGAGGCTGAAGGAGATCATCTGTGAGCAGGCCGCCATCAAACAGGCCACCAAGGACAAGAAGATCACTACAGTGTAACGAGAAAAGAGGACAGGGTCCAAAAGGGAGGTTGATCATAGATATAGAAATGTAGATCCTTCATTGGCTGCTGAACCTTCAGTCAATGTTGCCGCCATATTGGAGAGTGTAGGGCTCGCCTTTGAAGAAATGTTGTGTTTTTTTCTGGTTAAAAAGCACTATAATTTTTACATTTCTCTCTCAACTGATTGCAATGAGTCATTTTTCCATTTAAAGGTTTCTGATCTATGTGTTGTCGAAATACAAGTTTTGTTTCCAGTGAATTGGAATCTCAATATTTGGGTTATAATTTATTGTCATAAGGAATTGTGCAGCTCATATTTTTAACCATGGATTAGACTTATTTTCCTGTTAATACATGTGGAGACGTCCCTATACAATAGAATTAAATGTGGTAGTAGACAGCTTTTCAACTAGCTAGCCTGTAGCTTGCTAACACTGTCTGTTTATCATGAACTTTTTGATCCTAACAAAATACAGTAACTTTCACCACCATCATTTTTAAGTGCCACCACAAGAAAACATGTTCTTTGTTTATGTAATATAATGTGCGTTTCGACTGGTTTTCATCTGCACCCTACACAATCCTGGGAAAATGAAGGCTTGCTAAGGTTAGCGCGCTAGCTATGTTAGCTATCTCTGGCAGCAGAAACAAACATCTATGATCTATTGTTTGATAACCTAATCAAAGAATATGTTCTATTCAGATCAAGTAGTTGATGATAAGCAGACAGTGTTAGCTGGCTAGCTCGCTAGCTAGCTGACAGTTGTCTTCCTCCACATTGAATATGTTATACAGTCGTGGTTTTCAAACTCTTTGTGCCCAATACACACCAAAGGGCAAGCCAAAATCTGAAGGCACACCTTTTCTTGTTTGTTTTTAGTCACTAATATCAAATAACAATTGACAACCAACTATTACTCTTGAAATATTTATTAATAAAATGATTCAAGAAATTAATTAAATAAAATTGAATTACTTTTTTTTAGGTAACGTTTGCCTCTTTATTAGAAAATGGGTGTGCATAACATACTGATACAGTCAACTTAAAAATTCATCCATAACTTTTTGTATAGACCCAGTTTAATATTGAAAAAATAATGTTTGGTTATCATAAAATCCTGCGACACACCTATGCCATGGCACACCATTTGAGAACCACTGTTATACAGGGATGTCTCCACAATTATTAGCTGAGATAAGTAAGCCAAATCCATGCTGGAAAAGCAAGTTTTTATAATTCCTGACGAGAAATTATTTACCAGTTACATTAAGTAATTCAGTTCATGTAAGCCTAACACACACTTCTTTCTTGAGCTTCTAGCAGCAATTATAATCTCAATATCAAAATTCTCATTTACTTGAGACAAAACTTTTTTTTTCCTACTACATGTAGATCATAAACCAACAGATATAAACACAACTTATTGCAATTGGTTAAGGAATATAAATGTTATAGAGCTTTATATAAAAAAAAAATACTAGTCTTGCTCTTTCTAATATGATGACCATTTTGACGTATGACTCAAATGAGCTGACACAGTCAATGCTACGTCTACATCTATATGTCTATGGGATATATGACCAATCAAGAAACCTCTGTCCTGCAACTACTGTTTCTGCTCCTTCAGGAACATGTGCGCCATATAATTAGGTCATGTATGCAAGAGTAAAGAATGATAGAGCAAAAACTAGCAGGACAGAGGGTTTTTAAGAATTGGGTTAGAAAACACTGAAATAGAGTCTTTCTCCAGACATACATCACAACGTGTGTGAAATCTGTTGATGGAAAGTGTGTCTTCTCCATTTCATCTCTCTTGGTGTGATGAAACGCACTGTAGTCGAGGGCTGACACAGATATACTTTCCAACTCTGGGCATGTAAGTTATATATATATCAGCGTATGAAGCACTGGCTCACTCTAATTGGGAAGCGGGGTGACAGCCAACACAACTGCAAACTTTGCAAGTTTAGTTTGCCGTGTATCTATGTCATAAGGTAGCCTGTGTTGTCAATTTACACTTTCTAAAAGTCACGACAAATGCAGCTGCCGCGCTTCGACTCCAGCAGTCCCCCCCGCTCGCCGTGACTCCAGCTCCAGATAAAAAGGCGATTGTCTTGGACACTCACCCGAACTTAGGCCCCATCTCATCTCATTTTCCTATTAGATCTAAACTGCTGCTCTCAATTACACCTCTATCTCTCCTCTCCTGGCAGCCCCATGGGCCCACTGATTCTGTCTGCAATAACAGATGCCAGATTAGGCTGTCTGAATGAGGCCACATCTTCCGCCTGCTGCCAATTTGGGTTGGTCCCCAAAGATTCCCCTAGCTGAGAATTGTATCATATCTATGGCTGTTAAAAATCTGTTTATCCGTCTCTTTTTCCTTATAGTTTGTGCAGTAAACTAGTGTGGAAAGTTGTGAGCTGATTTTTTTTATATACAAATTGGACAACAGAGACTGACTAATGAAGATATTTTTGCCGATTTCAGTTTCATCCTTACTTAAAACAGACACAAGGTTTATCTGAAATGTTATTTTTCAAGTCCAGCGTTCCACAGTGGAGTGACTTGCACTTTTGTGCTACTGCTTGTGTGCAGGAATACATTTCATCAGTCATACTCGCTCAATAAAATGAAATGATGCAATTCTGAATCTTTATTTTGTCGTCCCTACTACAAGTCTTTTAACGCAAACCGAACATATAAACTCGATAGGAGATCACAAATCATTCGCCTCCCCGCAACCCTCCCTGTTTTTAGTTCATTAACTTGGGAGAGAAGTACTTAACGAGAGCAGGAGAGGGGAATGGGAGCCTTGTCAATACGGCGGGCCCGGCGCTGGTCTCCCCGAAGCCCACACAGCAATCCATCATAATGACACATAGGCTGGGATCGATGGGAAAACAACCGCGGAGCTGCTGAGGGGTTCGCCTACCACTCTGAAACGAACACTTGGTGTAAAATCTAAAATGTGCTCATTCAGCTGTTCACTTCAGAGCTACTTTTGTAATGTCATACAAGGGAAACTTTAATACAATGTTAACTGAGTGTGTCATGTCACACACAGATACTATTATACTATTATCCCACTGCACACACACACATAACCCCTAAAAGTCCAGGAGGCTTATGTATTGGAAATACTCCATGTGTGTAAGTACAAACCACTCCTGCTGTCCATGCTTTATATTCATGAATGAAATATGTATTCATTTTTTACTCATGTGCTTTTCTTTTTCTTTGCAGTCAACCTTTAATTTGCACAGTTTGATTCGAGAAATTTCTGTTTCAAGTAAGAATGTATTGAAATCTATACATCAAAGTGTGTTAATCTAAAACATCCTCATTGTCCCTCTTCTTCTTGAGTGTCATAAATGCTCTGACATGTTTGTCTACTCTAAATTTAGCACACGGGATTTGTCATCGCACACACTAACACATTGAAAAAATAAAGCCTTCAAATTCCATCATGTGTTGTGTGTTGTGTATTTTGTACGGCGCTTCTGCCCGTGTGGTTGCATAACTGTCATATTTTCCACCGGGAGGGGAAGTACAGCTGACAAGAGTTCACGCACACACTAACACCCTCTTCCACACATGACAGCACAGTCCATCACTGTTTTGATGCACCCGCCTTATATCATACGAGCCAGACGCATCCAAAACCAACACTGGAGGATGTATTTTACCTGACAGCTGTGATGTGTTGTCTGACATGGTTTGAAGCATGAAGTGCGGCATATTGGAATCAGGAAAAATAAACACAGACAGCGTACCACCTGAAGGCTCGTGTTGTTGTGGGCATAAATCCATATCTGTTGGCACAGTGCAGTATTTGCAATGCCTGACTGTGTTATTAGCCCTATTGTGTCTCCTGCCGTCGAGTTCTGACGGCAAAATCCAAACTTAACAAAAAGATAGCCCTGCAGCTGAAATTCAGAATACACGATTGGAAACTTTAGTAGTGCCATGATGATTGACAGGTCTTTTAAAGCTGACACCAACAATTGACGGCTACAAAATTGAAGTTAGTTGCTATTCTTATGCTGAAATCTTTACATGCATCAGTAATGTTTCTTAACATTGCACTTGTCTAAATTATATATAAGTATAAACTACCCATTATAGCTCTTACTGGGGGGAATGTTCAGTCTCTGGCATAGGGTATCTGTACTGTATTTTGGTGTAGAGCTTTATCTAATACTCTTGGTGTGTGTGTGTTTCTAAATGCTGACTGTAGTTTGATTGTACATGTATACGGATAGTCATGTGTATATGGAGAGGCTGTGTACTGTTACACTGACGTGTTTAAATGACCAAGATAAGTGTGTCCTAAGGGAGACAATAAAGGCTAATCTTATGTTATATTTTAACATTTTACATTTATAATTCACAATCCTAAATTGTGTATATCAAATTGTTGAACATAGAAATAATATCAATGATAAATTACAAATTACATGAAGTACAAGAAAACAAAAATGGTTTGGTTTGAGTAAAATTTAGTTGTTATTATCCAGGTTTTGTGCAATAGTTCTTTTGGGGGATGCATGTCAAAACAATGGTGTAAGGAAGGCTCTTAATGTGTTATCTATGAATATTTATACATGTTACATCCAGTATGCACACAATCAGGACTTACTACTTTCTCATAACATCATGCCTTGAACTTTGACCCTCTTGCTTTTATATTCATTACCTTTGGAAATAAAATCAACCCAGAGAGCTCCGTTCTTGTGACTTTGCAATGTATGCAGTCAAACTCAAAAGTTATAACATTATAGATTCTAACATATTATATTTGCGATGGTGAAATTACATCTGCAGTTCTCTGTCCTTGTTATTTTTATAGTCATGTCCTGTTGTTGTTTGTAATATTTAGGATTATTTTGTTCACTTCAACAAGTAATATTCCTATTATTAGTACCCATCTGGTCATCAGTTACTTGAATGCGCTGTCATTTGTCATTGCAGATGACAGCTGCCAGAAAAGCATGCTGGCTTGCACACTGCAAAATCGCATGGGATATAGTGGAACATCCTGGTATTTTTGGCATAATGCATATTTGGACATACTTTATCTTTTTCTGGCACACTTTACAGTAAGGCAGTGAACCCACCCAGGGGGTTTTGGGTTCAAAAGGTACTTACAATTAATAATGCAGCTCAGTGCAAGTTCAATCAGGAAGACTTTCTTTGTGCTCATCCATTCACAATTCCCTCCCTCCCGCTCCCACTCCTCCCTCCAATCATCTGTCTATGGGCGTTCTCTCTTCTAGTTATCCAATCAAACTTCGCCACGATCTCTATCAGCCAATCTGGATGCCACTGCAAAATGTTAAGTCTGCTCTCTCCTCTGCTGGAGTCAGCTGTCATTTCAGGCACAAATGTCACGCCCTCCTCCACCCCCTTCACCTCCAGCCATAATATCCGGAGTCCAGGACGAGCTCAACAAAGGCTCTTTCCTTTACTCATCCAGATCATCTGCACTTTGCCATCTTCTCCACATCCTCTTCTCATCTCATCTTCACCGCCTCTACCACCACCAGCATGTAGACCCAGCGGGGTTCCCTATTCGCCTACAAATTCATCACCCTCCTTAAATCAAACCATCTCCATGGAGTCTAATCTCCAAAGACTTTTCACATTTTTCATTCTTATGTGCACATGTTAATAAATATTTTTTTTACTATAAAAAACGTGTCTCTCCTTACTAAAAAATACATATAGTTGTATGTCCCTCCTCTGAACCAAAATAAAAACCATAAGTCCCCATAAGTGCTTAAAAGATTATTTAAAGTGCCTCCCCTGTGTTGCACCATCCTCTCCCCTTTCATAAGTAACGAACAATCCCTAAAGTGGCTGCTAACACACTCTCAGCCGCAGGTGGAAGCCATTAAAACATGGAAGTGGCTGAGGACGTTTATTTTGACAGAATTAAAGACATTTACATCATAAATTGACGCAGAAAAGTCACACATTAGTGCTTAAAAATCACCAGAATACAAAGAAATAGGTGTTGATGCTCAAAACTCCATGACCCACAATTCCTTTCACCTCTCACTTGTCTTAGCGTTGCCTAGCGACAGCGGAGTATGCTTCACGTGAGAAGCTAACTCATTAGCTAGCTAGAACCGTGGAAAAACACGGATATTTAGACTTTTTTTATGACAAAGTCCTCACTTTGACTTCTTATCGGTCTTCAGTCCCTCGTCACCGTGTTTTTATTACTGAATAATGACGGACACTACGAGTAAGCAGTTTTCGTCAGCGTCACCTGGCAGCTGTCCCCCAGGGTCCCACAGTGATGCTCCCTGTACACAAGCTCCTGGCTGCGACGAGCCAGAAGGAAACACAGAGATGGAGGTAAGGAGTAGGATACCTTCGCTGATAAAAGCTACACACACTGTGTTTTAATACTTTTATTTCCAGTTTCATTAACTTTTTAAGTGTGTGTCATTGTGCCAAACTACAACAAAAAGGCAGAGTGGCTGCTCTTCACTGGAGTGGTTTCAGTGAAACTCCATATTTGTTCTTTTATGCGACAGATAAAGCAGGTAACCTTGCACAAGAGGTCTGGGAAAGTAAAACAACACAGCAAGGTCAAATGGTTGATTATTTGCCATTTGTGATAGCGGTATTAAGAGCAATTAGAGTGGTGTGCATCCTTCTTAAGCATAATCTGTGTGTACTGCATGAATATGTGCTGTGTGCTTTTAGGTGATGCTTGTAGTGGCCTCATGCCATGTTGTCTTCAAACTTTGTGACTGAAAAATTACTTCATTTATTTATTTTTTATGTTTACAGAGGGATGGTGTTTTAACTGCTGAGGTGGTCTCCAGCTGTGCGTCCAACCTTGGACGCTGTGGCACTGGGCTGCAACATTTGTACCGCCATCTGTCTCTGCCTGTAAGACACTTACCTACACAGACAGCGTTTGTAAATGACATTAAATAGCTTTTAGTCAGGATAAATGTCTGAATTATCAAGGTAAAGCAATCCATGAAAACTCGGTTTACATTGACAGTGTATGTTATGTTGACAGTTCTCTTGTATTTTTTCACTAGAGTCAAGATCTCCATGACATCTCAGTTTTATGCAGTTATGTCCATCTTCAAAAGCTGGAGCTGCCACACAACAAAGTTAAAGGTGACTTTTTGTTATTCTTATTGTCATTAAGTGTCCTTAAAGGGGAGCTATTATGTTTTTCCTTATTTTCTGTCATACATATATAATTTTACAGTGTCAGATATTCATATTTAACATGGCCAAAGTTTTAAATCATGAGGTAAACCTATATAAAAGTAATGGAAAAACCAACCTCAAGTTACAAACCATTCTGAATACTCTGCAACTGTTTTTCTACTTTCAAGACAAACTGGTGTCAGCTCGTGACAAATTTCTGTATGTGGTCTTTACATACCATAGCCTACACTGCTACATGCAGCTACGTGCTAACATCAGGGAGACATGTATTATTGGTTGTAGATGTTGTTAATTTCACCCTGATTTCGGATCATATTCCTGTTGGAACATGTCCTGTTGTGAATATTTTGGTTGAGAAGCTTTTATAGACTGAATCACTGTGACGTCACACTTACAACAAGTCTCTTCTGGGTAGACAACTGGCAATTGTGTTCAGTTGCGGAGATTTGTAAAATAGGCAGACTTGTGGAATTCTGTTGTCATTTTCAGCCGTAACTGTAACGTCTAAAGATATATAGTTAAACACTGTGGTCCGACCTTCCTGACGTTTCTGCTGTGCTTATTTTATGTACAATGTTGTTTTGCTATCATCTTTTTAACCAAATGTACTGGCACAGAAGCTAAACAATGAACTGCTGTGGACGGGGGCCGCAGCAAAACGTATTCTAGCCACCTAAAAACATTAATATCAGTCTTAAGTGCTATATTGTAGACAACTGGACTTGCTTGCGTTTCTTGAAGACGTTTCACCTCTCATCCAAGAGGCTTCTTCAGTTCTAATTGACTGGTGCAAAGTTGCAGGCTTTAAACTCTGCATGGGAAGTGAAACATCTTCAAGAAATAAAGACAAATCCAGTTGTCTATGAAATAGCACTTATGATTACCATGACGCTTCATCAACATCCACCAATATCAGTGTAAGTGTAAGCTATATTTGAATATTTGCTTCGCTTCACCGAAGTGGTCCATTTTTAGGTGGTTAAAAACTAAGCAACTGAGGCAGCACTTGCTCAGCACCATATGATTTTATGCACATGATGTGGGGGTTTTCTACATGGAAGTTACTGTAAATAAACATTGTGATTCAATCTATTGGTGAGAAAGTGCCGCTGTACTTCATTGAAATTATTCTCAGGCTGCAAATACACTGTTACATGTAGCTACATGCTTACGTCAGGGAAACATGTTATCTTGGTTGCCGATGTTGTAAATTTCTCCCCCATTTTGGGTCATATTCCTGGTGGAGCATGTCTTGTGCAGATTTTTGTTTAGAAACTCTAATTGGTGATTTTTCATGGCAGAAAGTGGTGCTGTACTCTGTTACAGTTACTCCCCAGGTGCAATGAGGGTGTTGAGAGGTGGAGAACTCAGATATGGGAGACCCGGAAAACTTGGACTGGGCTTTTTTTTTTTTTTTTTGAGGGGGATGTAAAGAAATGTGCTAAAATGAAGTGTATCAGACAGAGGATGAATACATGCAAACATGTTCTAGTAGAAACCCAAAATACAAGTATGAACCTGAAAATGAACGTAATGGGTCCCTTTTAAATCTGTTACAGACCTGCTATTTATAGAAGCCAGTGACTACTTTGAAAGAGCTGTAATTCAGACATGATTCATTCACATTTGAATATGTTACTTTTCTGACCCTGTCTTTATCCGTTGATCCAATACTCTTTCCTCAACTCCCAGATTTATCCTGTGTGAGCCACATGCCCTACCTCGCCATCCTGGATGCCTCTCACAACGAAATCTCCAGCTTCTTTGGATTCCAGCCACCCAAGAACCTAAAAGTAACGCAGGACCTTGAGCTGACAGGATAAGACCATATTTGATTGGTGGCTAGGGCTTCACTTTCTCGTGCTATTCCCTCAAGATAGGCCTGGATTTCCATAGCCCATCTGTAGTCTCTTTGAATATGCTTACAAGGCATTAACTACCCTTGAACGACAGTGAACTTTAGCAAATTGAAAATTCCTTTCCCATACTCTATGGATTCGGTCGGAGAATTTCTTCAGTGAGATGTACTGAACACTTTCATGACTTTTGTTAATAGTGTGCTGCTTCTTTTTTTGTCAGGAGGTCAATTTCTCTCACAACTGTATGACGAAAATGAAGGATTTGTCAGCCTATTCATCCCTTAGTTACCTGGATCTGGGCTGTATCCTTACTGAGAGACGCTTACATTCATCCATGTGTACTTGAACTTCTTATGTCCTTGTCTTTGCCTCTTTCTCTGTCAGTCACACACACACCATATAGCTTTTTCTTTACCTATATATGATCATGTCTATAAAAATATACCGCATTATGTTTTCCCCTTAACATGCGCACGCTCAGACAACAGCCTCAGTGAGATCAGTGGTCTCGAGCAATGTTGCAAGCTCACCCATCTCAGCCTGGCACACAACAAGATCTCGAGGATCAGCGGCCTGGATAGCCTGCCTCTCACACACCTCTGCCTTGTAGGTCCTACTCTCTACAGTCAGAAATGCACTAAACTGAGCGCACACTCACACACAAACATTCATACATGCAGTACATTCAAGCAGATACTTAAAAACATGAATTTTAAACAAATCTCATTTGTCTTTCTTTGCCAGTGCTTGGCAGTGCTTCCACTTACATGCATGGCTTTGCTTTGGAGATTGTTTCCCTCCATGTGTGTTATATCTGAGCGCGTGCACACACAGTAGGAGTTATTTTGGAGTTGATCTTTCTTGTGCGTGTTTTACCTCATGTATGCTAAATTTTACCTGTTTATATTTGCCTCTCTATTCTCTCCTCCCTGTCTCTGTCTTTATGTCTCTGTTTTTGGCTGCATTTTTACATTCAGTAAAACCTTGGCCCCCTGATCGAGAATCACCATATGGTCCAACAGCAGGCCTTTTCTCTCTCACTCTCTCTCTCTCTGTCTCTCTTTCTGCTTGTGTGTGTGTGTGTGTGTGTGTGCACATGCGTGTTATGTCCTTTATCAGTGTTTCCTCATTGTCAGCAGCCATCGGTCTGGCTGTGTCTGCCCCTGTCTGTAGCTTTGCTTTGGGACCAGCTGCTGGTGTTTGAGTGAGTCTGGACCAAGTTCAGCGCGCACACACACACACCCACACACACATTCGCTCATACCTTGTCCATCCAGCATCCATCTAATCCCATCCCTGACCCCACTTCCTCACATGCTGGCTCCCTAAACAGCACAACCCTGTCAGCCGGCCTGTTTCCCAGCCCATCACAGCGCCGACCCAGAGCTTCAAGGGACCAGCACAGTCACCCGCCCCCACTGACAACAGCCCTCTGCCAGGCAACATGCTTGGCAAGAGCAGGACGAGATGTGGCCAGACGGCTAGATAACAACTTTAGTCAGTGGAATGGAGTGAGAAGCAGGCTGGGGGACCCTGACAAGGGAGGAGTGCCTAGGTCTGGTTCTTTAGTTGGTTAGCATGCTGCGCTAGCACCTCGCCAGCTGTTTGGCTGTCAGTCCTCACCTGTCAGGATTTAGCAAAGAGAGGCAGGCCTGCCACTCAACTCAGCACTGAGGGGAAAGAGGGTTCAGGCACCCTGCAGAGCGACCATGGCACGTCCTTAATATTTATTCACATTGACTATATATGAAGCAGAGCTGTGCGTTGGAAGCCACTTAGGTGTACATGCATATTCATGAATATCATGTACATGCCTCTTTAAATATGTCCTCTTTCCTGTCCATGTCCAGAGGGGGAACCAGCTGGAGAGGATTGAGGGGTTGGAGAATCTGAAGAATCTGCAGGTTCTGGACTTGTCTCTGAACCGCATCACCAGTCTGTCTGGCCTCCAGAATCTACACCTACTGGGCTCCATCAACCTGGAGAAAAACCTGGTACTGATCTGAGACAACCTTGGTTAACAGCACATATATGTTGGCCTAAATCTTAACGTGATTAAGTCAATATAGATTTAAGTTCAGAAAAAAATTGATTTGCACCAGAGATTCACAAAAATAGGAATCCAATCACATATGAAAGTCACAGAGGTTTAAAAGATTATGAACTCCATCTCCATCCTGATGCCCGAATCATCTCTGCTGACCTCTTTCAATGCGAAGGAGGAGCGGCCTTATTCTGAGCTCCCTCCAGATAGCTGAGTTCCTCGCCCTTTCTCTAAGGCTGAGCCCAACCACCTTACACAGGAAACTCATTTTAGTCGCTTGTATCCACAATCTCAGTCTGTCAGTCAGTACCCAAAACTCATGACCATAGGTGAGGGTCATAACATAGGTTGACTGGTAAATCAAGAGCTTTGCCCTCTGGCTCAGCTCGGTCTAGGGCAGCACCCACATCACTGCTGACACAGCGCCAAACCCCCAAGCTCCATCTTACCCTCTCGTGAGCTAGACCCCAAGATACTTGAGCTCCTTCGCCTGAGGCAGTAACTCTCACCCAACCCAAAGGGTTAATCAACCATTTGCTGGCAGTGTACCATTGCCTCAGACCTGGAGGTGCTGACTCTCATCCCAACCGCTTCAAACTCGACTGCAAACTGCCGCAGTGCGTACTAGAGGTCTCGATATGGTGAAGCTGACAGGGCCACATCATCTGCAAAGAGCAGAGGTGCAATTCTAAAGTCCTCATGCTAGACACAAAGTCAAACACATTTTCAGATTATGAAAAAAAACAATGAGCAGACTCCAACTCAAGTATGCTCTAAAATACAACAAAATTCTAATCTGACATAATTGTAGTCGTTGACAAGGTTGAGAATGAAATCTTACACTTAACAACTTAATTATATTAACTTCAAATAAACTATTGCACTGCATGACTTTGTGGTTTTGTTTCAGATTAGTGAAATACAGGAGTGCAAACACATCCATGATCTTGTCCTATTGAGGGACCTGAACCTGCTTGGCAACCCTGTACAGGTAACCCAACCCTTCACTGACCACATGGTTCTAGTATGAGAACATTTATTTAATATGTGGAGAGATACTGTGTATGCCAAAAGTTTCATGCATTTCATTTAGTCCACATATATTCTGTACCCAGCCTGTAAGCACTTGAGCTTCAATGATGACTTCCATCTGTTTGTGGCTTTTTAAAGTTGATGAATGTTTGTGCTTGAAGTTTAGATTCATCATATATTTTGTAATATATGCCATGTGAATGTAATTGATAGGAGCAGCCCAATTACAGACTGGCAGTCATTTTCCTCCTTCAACATCTAACTGTGCTGGACCAAGTTAAAGTCACCGCAGAAGAAAAGGTACGAATAAACATAATGAAGTTCACAGCATAAGCACAGTGTTTCAACAGGCCGGACTTTCAATTTAAATAAGGATACTGCACTGACCCCTTATTTAAGCTAAAATGCCACTAGTCTGGCTCCCAGGAGGTAGTCTATGTGTATAATGATCTGTTTACACTATAAGCAACAACGCAACAGCATGGCCAGCTACATTATTGCAGAGTTGCCGTTCAAAGTGTTGCTCAGGTGCTTGTTCACGTACTTACAGTACAGGCCAAAAGTTTGGACACACCTTCTCATTCAATGCGTTTTCTTTATTTTCATGACTATTTACATTGTAGATTCTCACTGAAGGCATCAAAACTATGAATGAACACATGTGGAGTTATGTACTTAACAAAAAAAGGTGAAATAACTGAAAACATGTTTTATATTCTAGTTTCTTCAAAATAGCCACCCTTTGCTCTGATTACTGCTTTGCACACTCTTGGCATTCTCTCAATGAGCTTCAAGAGGTAGTCACCTGAAATGGTTTCCACTTCACAGGTGTGCCTTATCAGGGTTAATTAGTGGAATTTCTTGCTTTATCAATGGGGTTGGGACCATCAGTTGTGTTGTGCAGAAGTCAGGTTAATACACAGCCGACAGCCCTATTGGACAACTGTTAAAATTCATATTATGGCAAGAACCAATCAGCTAACTAAAGAAAAACGAGTGGCCATCATTACTTTAAGAAATGAAGGTCAGTCAGTCCGGAAAATTGCAAAAACTTTAAATGTGTCCCCAAGTGGAGTCGCAAAAACCATCAAGCGCTACAACGAAACTGGCACACATGAGGACCGACCCAGGAAAGGAAGACCAAGAGTCACCTCTGCTTCTGAGGATAAGTTCATCCGAGTCACCAGCCTCAGAAATGGCAAGTTAACAGCAGCTCAGATCAGAGACCAGATGAATGCCACACAGAGTTCTAGCAGCAGACCCATCTCTAGAGCAACTGTTAAGAGGAGACTGCGCCAATCAGGCCTTCATGGTCAAATAGCTGCTAGGAAACCACTGCTAAGGAGAGGCAACAAGCAGAAGAGATTTGTTTGGGCCAAGAAACACAAGGAATGGACATTAGACCAGTGGAAATCTGTGCTTTGGTCTGATGAGTCCAAATTTGAGATCTTTGGTTCCAACCGCCGTGTCTTTGTGAGACGCAGAAAAGGTGAACGGATGGATTCCACATGCCTGGTTCCACTGTGAAGCATGGAGGAGGAGGTGTGATGGTGTGGGGGTGTTTTGCTGGTGACACTGTTGGGGATTTATTCAAAATTGAAGGCACACTGAACCAGCATGGCTACCACAGCATCCTGCAGCGACATGCCATCCCATCCGGTTTGCGTTTAGTTGGACGATCATTTATTTTTCAACAGGACAATGACCCCAAACACACCTCCAGGCTGTGTAAGGGCTATTTGACCAAGAAGGAGAGTGATGGAGTGCTGCGGCAGATGACCTGGCCTCCACAGTCACCGGACCTGAACCCAATCGAGATGGTTTGGGGTGAGCTGGACCGCAGAGTGAAGGCAAAGGGGACAACAAGTGCTAAACACCTCTGGGAACTCCTTCAAGACTTTTGGAAAACCATTTCAGGTGACTACCTCTTGAAGCTCATCGAGAGAATGCCAAGAGTGTGCAAAGCAGTAATCAGAGCAAAGGGTGGCTATTTTGAAGAAACTAGAATATAAAACATGTTTTCAGTTATTTCACCTTTTTTTGTTAAGTACATAACTCCACATGTGTTCATTCATAGTTTTGATGCCTTCAGTGAGAATCTACAATGTAAATAGTCATGAAAATAAAGAAAACGCATTGAATGAGAAGGTGTGTCCAAACTTTTGGCCTGTACTGTATGTAGTCCTGGGTTTGTACGTGTCTGCTGCTTGCAACAACGTACCTCGACTGAAATGTCTGAGCCCCATTTTAACATCACATTTCGCCGCCCCATTGCATCCTGATGTTCACCACAATACTCAGTGCTCGCATAGTGTCAACTACCTCCGTTAAATACCACAGTACCACGGCTAGAAACAAAAAATATGATTGATATACACCTCACTGCATCCTTGGAGCACTGAAAACTGGACAGATCAACTGAAATGACTTGAAATCTGCTTACCTGCTTACCTTGAAACCTGCTTCGTCAGTTGTAGTGTGAACACACCAAAGGTCTTCCACTGGCCACCTATTTTGGAATTCTACTCCCCTTCTGCTATCTCCCAACACTTGCTGGACACCATTGTTGCATCCTGGGCTTAGCACCACGCAGGACGAATATGATTGGTTTAAAGAAATACAAACAACCCAATACAAGCAACCTACAAGGCTGAAAAATGAAGCCAATGAAGTAGTGCCAAAAACTGCAGCGCTTCAAATGGCCACTTGAGGCTGACTCCAGGAGCAAGTCAATCCCACAGTCTATGGTCAATCTCCATAGACCTCCATGTTAAAATGACCAACTTTACAGCAGAAATAAACATGTTTAAAGCCTGGTGCAAAAATGGTTTTGGTTGCTATAGTTAATTTACTAGTTCATAACAACTGTTTGGGGGTGAATTTTGATATTACTCATCTGTTTTCATTTTGTTAAGGTATAAAGTTATGCATATTTAAGGGCGGGGCCTCCTGAATGGCAGGCTCTCTGCAAGGTGTCGTTACAGCCTGTAAGTCAGGTCCACCCCTTGCTCCTCCACAACTCCACCCTCCCGTCCAAATATGGTAACTTCTGGCTCCGAAAACCCAAGATGGGGATGCCCAAATTACCAGTTGTCTAGGTGACGTCATGGTAGTTACATCCATTATTTCAAACAGTCTGGTTAGGCATCATTTTGTAGCTTCATGTCACCAGTTTCTTTTGAAAATGACTTGTAGGCTGTTGCTTTGTCGGTTGTAGTGTGAACACCGCATCGGCCTGCCATTGGCCACCTATGTCAGACAGAATTCTCCTCCTGTTCCGCTATCTCCCAACACTAATTTGCAAGGGCGCCGTGGCTGCATACTGGTCTTAGCACCACCCAAGTCGACTGTGATTGGTTTAAAAAAATACAAACAACCCAGAGCGTTGACACAGAGCTAAAACAAAGTGTAGGGATCAAATGCCATCAAACTAATTCGACTGTTATAATTTCCATGGATGTGGGATTGCTTATTTGTCCCTTGATTACCAACCTTAAATCCCAGGTGTCATCAGTAAACAAGTATGACCCTCCTTTGGATGTGATGGCAGCCAGGGATCACATGACCAACTTGGTGTATCAGCTGATGCAGCCCCAGGTGCTCTATGACAGGTTGGTGCAAACATAGAGTTGTGTTTGATAGCCTGACCTCTGGATGGCCCTTTGCCTTGTTTCCTGAATGTGAGATAAAACCACCCAGTGGATTAAGTTACTATAATGTCAACTGTCGATGAAATGAAAAAGGATAATACCAAATGTTGACAGAGGCAAATGTGAGGGTTTACAGTCAAATGTGTTGAGTCATAATCGTAAACACCTTCTGAAATCAACCATCAAGACAGTTGCTTTCGAACGTGTGCAGCATTTTATCTGCAGTGAGTCTGTGTTGCTCACATTATCTACTCCCTAAAAGAAAAAAATTTGTTCATGCATCAGCACTTTTTTGAAAACATCCATCATCAGCAAATAAAATGCTGCAGCTACAGTCAATTTACCATTCTCTTCTGTGCTTCCTAGAAAGAGCGCATGGATATTACCCACAAGGGTCTCGTTTTTATTGACTGAAGGAGTGGCTTTCATGACTGGAGACGTTTGTGCTCTGGCTTCATGGCTTAATGTATTTAACTGCTGCTCATCTCAGTGAGAACCTACCTGTAAAGGTGATCATAAGCCTCTGTGTTTGTGTGTCTCCAAGCAGCACTATGCCCAGTGCAGACTCTCCATATCCCATGCTGGTTCTCACTGGTCCTCAAGGCTGTGGGAAGAAAGAGCTGGCTCACAGACTGTGTCGGGAGTTGAACGAATACTTTGCCTACGGGTCAGTCTTAAACTTTCTGTACATGTATCTCAAGTCAGTGTCACATGATTAGTAGTACTTAAATTGGTGCTAAAATAAATGACTAAATTCAGTAGATTTAACTGTAAATTTACATTACATAATTGTCATATGATGAAATAATACATCTGCTCAAACTGATATTTAAGAAGATAAACATGTTATATTAATTGAGACAGTAAAGCTCTCAAAAGAAATCTGCTCCCTAGATACAGCTGGTAACACCATTAGTAGTGTGACAAGTAAAACAATTATTTGTATCAGTTTTCTCCTTTGTGTTTTTTACTTACTGCTGTGGAAGTCAAACAGCTGCTACATATTAACCAGACAGTTGAGTCTGAAGTTAAAAGCTGCACATACTGCAAAGTGGAGTTGTTGATTCTCAGTGGGAGTTACTCCGTACTAGCATCTCTTTATTGATGATATAAATTAATGTGTGATATACATATTAAGTCATGGGAAAAATAGGAGCCATCTGCTCCCAAATACATCAAAGGATAGACCAGGCCAGATATTCTGAAGTTGATATTAAAGGAGGACTTCACCCTCCATATCACCAATTATCCACTTTGTGTTAGGACTGGGCAATGTAACAGCTATGTACAATATATCTTTATATTTTTAAGCAAGATATAAATTTAGATGACACATTCATATCAATATAGGGTCCAGTTGCGTTACATAACGCACACCAGTGTGCATCTCTCCTCACTCACACTTTCTGCACTGCTCAGCCCCACTCACTCACAGTTTCTCCATCAACACTTAGAGAGACACAGAGCTCCTCCTTTGTTTGTTTGTTGCACGTGATACGCTAAATCAGTCTGTGAGGTGAATAAAATTACCGCAGAAGCACAAGTGCAATCCAGCGCTGAGCTGCTAGTTTGTGGTCTCGGTAGTTGTAGTCTGTTGTGTGACATGGAGACAGCACCTGGATGCAGGCGACAGATCAGTTTAAAAAATGCAGTTCATGTACAAGACATATATCATACGAAGAGTCTCTTGCTTCTTCAGTTTCAGTTTCAGTTTATTTTATTTATAAAAAGGACAGTACACATTAATCAACATTACTGTAAATGTGCCAGTTTTAGCCAGCCGGCTAATTCGCAACTGTAGTCCTCCGGCAAAATGTTATGAAACCATAACCTGACCAAACACGGCCTCGGCCTCTCTGTTGATGCCCTGTGCATTGATAAAATTAATAGCTTAAATAAGTAAGATTTATATTGCTTTTCATATGAAAGGCCATGGAAATCTCCCCCCACAAAGATTTTTTAATTGTTCCAAACTAAAAAGGATTCAGGCCGACTTGATACTTTTATACTCATGATGTAGTTATGTGTCCTGTCCTGTCCCTAACCTCTGTAGCTCCAGTGCTATGTGCTGAAATCAAAGTCTGTTTTCATGAACAGGAATCCAAAAACTTGAGTAAATTCTTAATGAAATAAGATCTGGGCTTGCAACAGTGTCCCGCATTTCTTACTTTGTAGTCTCAGCAGAAGAGCATCTCTTCACATTCAGTTTGGAGAGGTCGCATAGATCAATAACTCTTTTAACACACATATGTGAGTGTTGTGTTAAGGTAGAACTGACAAAAGTGAACCTACCCTTAAAATCTGGGGGCAAAACAATGCAGCATTATGCAAGTCAAAGGATTTACTGTCTGATATGTCACAGAAATCCAGTGGTCTTCTACCGGCTCATAGCCCCCATACTGCTCCTGTTTAGTGGCTGCAGGTGTGACAGTTGTTGCGTTTCACATTTTATGTTTCTGTCTTTCTCCACAGAGTGTGTCACACCACTAGGGGGCCCTACTCCGGAGAGGAAGATGGAGTTGATTACCATTTTGTCAGTGAGGAAGACTTCCAGAACATGATTCACATGGTACGTTAGCTTGTCATGAAGCTTTTTTGTACATCGCAGACTGTATGAGTGACCACATGAGAACAAAATAGGTTCTGGACTCACATAATTTTGTGGACTCTGTCATAAGTCATGCAAACAGAGTAGCACTCACCACCAGTTAATTAAATGTACGCTGGGTTTTAGAAAGCTTTTTGTGTGTGTGTGTGTGTGTGTGTGTGTGTGTGTGTGTGTGTGTGTGTGTGCTTGAGTCACACAACTCTCTCAGCAATTTTCAAATTGAATTCACTCGCTGGCCATAATGAGTTGAGTAGTTGAGATAATTAGTTTTACTTGGATTGATTGATTTTACTTTAACTGGCTGATATTTCAATTAGCAAAGATACATTTATTTGAATTGAGCATTTTTGATGAGGTGTAATGGCTATATTAATTAAAAACAAAATTAAGGGTGACTTATCGCAGCATCACCCACAACATTTGCCATGCAAGTGATGATTATTAGTCTGAGAACACTGACGAGGACGCAGAGAGATAATGGGTTTTAATGTCATCAATATGCAGACGTTGGTCAAAATAACATAAAATACACATCTATTCTGAGAGGGTCAGCAACTGCCAGAGTCCGGTTTGATTTATGGTTTATGTTTATTATCAGTTTTTACTTGTGTTAATCAATAGCAACTGGATCTCGTTCATTACACCCACTTTTTCCTTCAATTCTGAGAAAGGTGGTCTGAGGATACGTTCCCAGGGTCATATGTCTCTTGATACTATAAGCTACCATTGTAAAATATTGGTAAGGGCTAGCTACGTAGTTAAGATTGCAAAAGAACGAAGGGATACAGATGTTTCAGATGCAGTTTAAATGGTAAAAATCCATTCAGCCACAGTGGAGATATCAAGGAGTATAACATCAGTAGGCTCAAAGCTGTAGGTGGGAGATTTAAACATATTGTCCCAGGGAAATATACACTGAACATTGGACAGAGGGAAAATAAGCATTGCTGAGAACAAAGAAACCCTTGAAAGGTCTCCTTAATGAGTCATATTAAGAGGATATTGAGCTGGGGACATAGATACGCTCCTGGAAAAATGGGCGCTGAGGTCTTGGACACATTTGTTTTCCATCTTGTCCTTCTTGTCAAGCTGCCTGTTATGTAAGAGCGGCGGGGGGATGATGGATAGAGGTCTGGGTCACGTAATGATTTACACAGCGACGGCTTTGATGCTGGAATTGATTCCTTTTGTGTAGTCCAACAGAGGAAGTGGATCAGGTTAACTTTACAGTCTGCCCCTCCCTCTGCTTGATTCGTCCATTCTTCTCCTTCACCCTTAGTTCGTCTGTTGCCAGCTACTTGGTTTATCACTTTGCTGTACGTCCTTTCTTAGTCTTCATGCTCTCGCCTTTCATGTGTCAGCTGCCCTCTTTCTCTTCATTCCTTCCACTCAGATGTGCTTTTCATTAACTGTACAATCATAACCTCCTGAACCCACTTCTCGTGGCTGTTCAGAATTAACCACAATCAGCGGTCCTTGGTTGTTGTTATACTCTTTACTGTGATGTAAACACAGGGAACACCTGCTGCGCAGTTGTGTCTGAATAGCATCCAACTCTGGTAATATGGAGTCACAAGAGTTGTGTTTGTCATTGAATGTTTGAATGGCTTTTAACTATCTAATTTAGGAAGGTTTTACTTCCTGTCTTTGTGTGTTCTCTGTCACACCTGTCTCGTTAGTCCTTCCCTGTTCCCAGAGTCTTCCCTTCACACCTGTTCTGTATTAGTCTTGTTTGCTCCACCCTCGTTGTTAGTCAACCTCAATTTCCCTCCTTCCTAATCCAGATGTGTCTTGTGATTAGTTTTCTGTGTATATATACCTGTGTGTTTCCCTTTGTTCTTTCAGTTCGTCTGTGGTCATCCCTGCGTTATTCCCGTGCTCGTCCATGTGTTCTTGATGTCGTCCATGCTTCTTTTCCTGCCTGATATCTCGTGTTTGGATTTTTCCCGGTTGGTTTTCAGTTTATTTTTCGTTCTGCTTTCATTTGGACTTCCAGTTATCTGCTGTATCTGGATGTTTTATGTCGGCTGTATTAAAGCTCGCTTTTTGTTAAAAACCTCAACCAGCCTGTTAGTCTGCATTTGGGTCCTCTTTGAACTGCTACGTGACCTACAGTATGCCAATTTAATTGACGGGCAAGTTTCAATGTTGATTTTACAAAGTCTGTGCCCTCTAGTTGCAGTGATTTTTAAATGTAAAAACCACAGTATTACAGTCAAAATAGGGTTCAGGGAAAAATTATGCAAAAAAAAAACACATCAATTTAACCCTTTGAAACCTGGAGCAACACCATTTTACGTGTGCTGCTTTTAGATGCCTTTTGCAAGTCTTTAAACCTTTGAACCCTGAGCAAATTGGTGTTATTTCTTTCAAACACATGGAGAAAAAGGCAATAAGCAACTTTGTAAAAAAAAAAAAAGTCCCACAAATTAAAAAGAAGATAGATTTAGAAAACAATTTTAAAAACTAGGGGAAAAGAAAAAAAGTAGGGAAAACTATATTGCTAATTATTATTATTACATTTTAAAATTATATCACAGAATTACTGTTATTTTCAAGCACCCTTTCCAGGTCATTTTCTTGTTTTTTTGTTTTTAACTTTCTATTTTCTACTAATTTCTTACTCAATTTTTGGGCCATTCCTTTTTTGGTGATCATTGCCTTCTTTGTTTCCATGTTTTTATAAGAAATCAAGCCAATTTGCTCAGGTTTCAAAAAGCTAAAGGGTACCTATTATGCTTTTACCTTATTTTCTGTCATAATGTTGGATGTTCACATCAAATGTGGCCAAAGTTTCAAATAATGAGGTAAACATATGTGAAAGTAATCCCTGAGAGCAAAAACCTCATGCTGCAGAGCAGTCTGAATACTCTTGTTTCCAATGTTTTTTTTCTACTTTGGAGACAAGCTTGTAATAGATGTCTGTATTTGGTCATCTGCTCCAGGCACATTACAGTCTTAAGTCTTTACATTACCTATCCTACACTGCTACATAAAGCTGAATGCTAACTTGGGGAAACGTGATCTTGGCTGCCAGTGTTGTTAATTTCTCCCTAATTCTGGATCAGATTCCTGCTGGAATGTGTCTGGCATGGGCAGAGCTAGGGGGTGGCTTTTGGGGCTTAAGCCATGGGTGTTTTTATCCAAAGCCCCGTTTTTTGTTTGTTTTTGTTTTTTTGTTTTTTTAAACTTTGTGTTATTTCCCAATCAGATTACATATAAAGTCAATACAAATATGTGAAATAGCTAACAGTTGTGAGTGCTTTGTTGTTTATACTTCCTGTAGCCAATCTATCTGTCAATCCAACCCATGATTTGCAACACGTTGGCCAATGGTAAAATCCCTGAGAAGTGTAGGCAGCAAGGAGTCTGCTTGAGAGGCTAGTGGTAGGCAGCCTGTTTGAAGTGACGCGCAAGACAACAGTTTCTGTTGTGTGTAGTCAAGTGGGACGCAGGACGTGACTAGTTGCTGTATGACTAGTTACCTCAAAGTGGATATTAGAACGTTTTTCCAGAAAAGCCAGCGACAGCGGATTCACATTCACTTGAAACATACAACACCTAAAAATCAGCATATGAAACGCCCCAAAATATCAGTGCGCACATTCTGGCTTCTTTGGGCTTAGCCCCTAGTCTTGCCCTGTCCTAGGTCCGCCCCTGGTGTCTGGTTGTGATTAGAAGCTTTTATTGGTGATTCTTCAAGGTACAAAGTGCTGTTATACTCTGATACAGTTGTTCCTTCATGTAGCCACATGCTACCTTTAGGGAAACATGTAATCTTGGTTACCAGTGTTGTTTATTTCTCCCTTATTTTGGATCAGATTCCTGCTGGAACATTTCCGATTATGGTCAGAAGCTTTTTTTTTTAATGATTTTTCAAGGTACAAAGTGCTGTTGTACTATGATACAGCCATTCCTTTATGTAGTTACATGGTAACTTCAGGGAAACATGTAACCTTGGTTGCCAGTGGAAGATATACTGTGCAATGTATAGACTCATACTGAAGTAATCCCTCTGAATCATCTCCTATGACCCACTAGAAGTGTGTGGCAGTGTGTTTTTTGCACAGACTCTGCCCTCTGCCTGTATTTTCTTGTTTTCTTCTTATTTTACGTGTTAGGGATGTTTATAGACGTGTCCCCTCACAGCGCTCAGGTGACGTCAAGGCTTTATAAAGAGGTGCCCAACCATAAGCAGCAGATATCCAGGAAACACAGTGCCAAAAAAAAACGCAAATGTAGTCAAGCAAAACACCAAAGAGAGTGAATTTGAGGTTGGGATTTACTTTGACTTTCTCTGGCGAGCATGTTTACGAACAATAACCAACAATCCTGTGTAGTATACCTCTAATATCTCCTCGGTTTGGAATCTTACTCCTGCTGAAATGAGATTTTGGATTAGAAGCTTTTATTGGTCATTTTTCACAGTAAAAAGTGCCCCAGTATGACAGTATGAGGAAAATAGTGTTTTTGAGCATCAAAGCACGTAAACATGTTCTAACTGAAACCCAAAATACAAATATGAATCTGATAATGAGCATAATAGTTCCCCTTTAAAATAATATGTATAGAGATAGTTTGTACTAAGAGCTTCAAAATTAGGTAAATGTAATGGAATTTAGACAAGATAACCGTTTCCTTTGGATCAGATGGTTTCAGTTTTATTTATATGTCTGCATTCACTTTTCCTACCACAAACCAAAGAAAAAGAATTATTTGTTTTAGTGAGTTTGGTGTTATAAATTATCCTGTTCAAATAAAACTGCCCACAGAGCCGACAGTCAGAAGGTCAGAGGTCGTGTGTGAGAAGTAACAAAAAGAGCGATATCTTCCCTGACCACCAGTGTCAAAAGTTCAGTTCACAGGTGGGCAGATGACTTTAGGCTGTTAATCCTGACCAAACATGCCGGGGTAGTGTTTGTATGTCAAATATTATGCCCACTTTAGGAGATGAATGAGGCTCATAACTGTGTGTGAACAGTGGGGCTGTAAAGTGGTGCACTGAAATGTTCTCTCATTCTTTCCCCTCATTCTGAAAATTGCCTTGTAGGGTAAGTTTATCCAGACCGCGCAGTACGGGGATCACAGCTACGGCCTGACCAGAGATGCCATAGAGGATGTAGCCAGAGAAGGACTCGCCTGCTGTGTGCATATGGAGCTAGAGGTGCGTATAGACACCTCTTGTCTGTGCGTCATCAAGCAGACTAATACCATATGTGGTCAGTAAAGTCAGTAGATCAACACACAGTGGAGACTGAGGATTTACCAGCAATATAGGATCCTTAAAAGGTTGATAGTTACTACATGTACAATAAATGGAACAATGGGCTCCATGCAGAAAGCAATATCTGAACACTTAACCTCTTATTTTTGTCCATGAGTTGCTCTTATTTTGTTAGTACCAATTAATTTCTGGGATTTACTAATGCTTTCTTACTTTTGCTCTTCTCTTAACTAAGAGAAAATTTTGAGTGGTTGAAAGCACTCTTAACAAGATAAAATAAAAACCTCTAGTTTGAAAAATCCACAAAATATTTCTCTGACACAAAGAAATATAAGTTTAATATATTAGGAACATAATTTTATACAATTTAAGATACATTTTACTTCTACATTTGACTACATTTCACAGGGAAGTGTTGTAATATTTACTCCACTACAATTTGACGACTTTTGTAACTAGTTACTTTACAAATTAAGATTTTTGCACATAAACCATATGAAAATATACAAGTGCAGCAGAAATGAAATGTTTTGTCGTTTAAATCATATTTAATGCAAAAACATTTCATTGTTCCAGCTTCTCAAATATGAGGACTTGCTTCTTTTCCTTTAATTTTAATTATTTTCATATATTAAATTGATTTAATTGAATCTGCATCATGACTTTTACTTAAACACATTAGTCTGATTGTTCTTACGTACTTTAACTTAAGAAACATTTTCAATGCAGGACTTTTACTAATAACAGAGTATTTTTACAGTGTGGTTTTAGTACTTTCACTTAAGTAAAATATCTGAATACCTCCTCCACTACTGTTGCTGGCACAGCATTTACAGCATCACAAATGTTTTGCCGTTGCTGGGTTTTTATATTGCTCTAACACCATACGGACGCTCTGGAGAGTCATATGTTTTTACTTTTTTCAGAGTTTATTTAACAGTATGTTGATTTCACTGCAGCTGACGTTCTTCTTACAGCCTACTTTTTTTGGAGGCATCTCTCCAGTTCTTAGGCATGTGCAGGTGTATTTGCACACAGCACAACACCTGCACTTACTTAGTGTTTAGACTGGGTGTTACTCTGGTCACTTATGATCGAGTGGGATTCATCATTCAGCACACCTGGATAAAAGCAGATTTAGACGACTATGAACATTTGGTGCATTTGGAGTTGGAGTTCTCTTTTTGTTCTCTCTTAACGCGAAATTAAGATAAAATTGAGCACAGATTTAAGGGAATAGAATTCAAGGTTGCAGTGAACAGAATATCAAACCCTCATTGTAAGTAAGTAATTAAGTGAAGTTTATTTAGTATAGCATCTTTCACAGAGCAAGGTCACAACGTGCTTCACAGTAGTTAAATTGTTAAAAATTAGTTAATAAAAAATGAACAATAAAACATGAGCAACAACAGACCTTAAAAACACACAGAATTACAAACACTAGACAGCACGAGGTGAGACAAAGGCCAGTTTGATTAAGATAGATCCTTTATTGTGCACCAACAAACACTCACATATTCACCAACACACACTTGTTCATCACATCATTCTTGCAATCACATACACACACAATCTTATCCATACTTTCAAGATATAAAAGCTCCGGGTTGGTGCGACTATGCACACTGCCATCTAAGTGAGTCTTTTAATAGGCACCAACAGAGACCACAGAATCGATGTCTATAGGAAGAGCGTTCCAGTGTCGGCACCACTTCCAAAGCATGATCACCTTTTCTTTCAGTCGAGCATTAGGGACAACTAAAAAGGCCTGGGCAGAAGACTTATGTCACCTACTGGTAATATAAGGATGAAGCAGGTCACATGCACTGTTTACACCTGCTATTAACATGAATCTTGAGTAATTGGATTACAATGGACAGCTCGAAATACAGATTTGAATGCACACAATGTGTTCTAAAAGCATCTTGAGATTTGATCGTTTAGACCACAGTTGTAGTAGTCTGAGGCCACATACGGCCACAGTCTTTCAGCAGTGTGTATGCTAATGTGTCGTGGGCTAACGTCTTTGCTTATCTGTCTGCCCCCACAGATTGAGAAAACTTTCTATTGCTGCCATTACACAGGTTAGACACAATGCAGAAGGAATGTCTCCAGAGCTCCTCTCCTCCAGGCAAATGTTCAGTTCAGTGTCTGCTCAGTTAGCAGTGGCAGTTAAACTCACACTGACACTGAAACAGCTCGACTCTGTCTTCAAACCCCGTTAATAACCGTTACCACCGGTAATGTTAGCCGAGTGATGCTAGTCAGCTAGCCCTGACACTGTGTGTGTGGATGGCCTCTCACCAACTATCCCCGGCGTGGAGCTCACATTCTTACAGCTGTTGTCTCCTAATGATGGTGAATGAAATGATGTAGAGCAGGAAGTGAGATCAGATTAGAAGTGGTCCCTCAAGAGATGTGGAGATTCTAATGCCAGGTGTGGACAAAGAAAGAGCTGTCCACTTAGGATCGGCTCATCTAAGGTAAGTTATTACCAGGTGTAAACAGGCTCAGAGATGAACACATGTGCCTTACCATGCAGGGCTCCATATGTGAAAACAAGGACCTGAGAATGAAGACTGGTATGTGAGTAGTCCTGCTGGACCTGGTCAGCAGCCTCCTAACAAAACTGCATTCTCTTTGTCTCTCCTTGCAGGGTGTGTTCAGTCTGAAGAACAGCTACTTTGAGCCTCGCTACATCCTGCTCTTCCCCACCCAGGTTGAAAAGTACAGGGGCCACCTGAAAAGCAGTGGCCTCTATACGCAAGCACAGATCGACATGGAGATATCACGTATAGAGCTCTACGCCAATACCAACAGGCAGCGACCGGGTTTCTTTGATAATGTTATCCCCAGTGGTACGTCAAGGAGGCACTAATTTTTATTGTGATATAAATGTATTCATTCATGCTGTGTGATGTTGTACGTGTTGATTTAAAGTGTGCATGACAGAGAATAGTAATGGTAATTTCGTATCCTCTGGTGGCTAATTGGATCCATTGTACAGCTTAGTTAATGAAAGTTTAATTGTAGTACAGAGTGTAATTATAAATATTAACAATTCATTTTTAACATAAAATCATTTTTAACCTGAGAAAACACTTAATTGATTCCCAGGGGAGAAACGTTCTTTCTGTTTTATTCAACCTTTGGATATGATGCTAATAAGAAAGAAATATTGAAGTCTGCTGCGATAGCTCTGTTCCCTAGCAGTTTGTCATTTAGTGCTTCGCAGAGCTAAAACAAACAAACAAAAACAAACAATGCCTTGCCTCACCCTGGCTTAGAGCAGTTCAAGTGTCATTGGAATAGCCTTGGATAAATTAACACACTCCACTAAAATCCATACACTATACTTTCAATCCAATTACCACATGTATTAAGGGCACATAGCCACAGAATAGCAGTGTTTATCATTCCCTCATGAAAGCACTCAGACATGTTAGCTGTTTTCTTAATGAGATGAACATACAGCAAGCGCAGAACCTCATCACTTTTATGCACTGCTAGCTGGCGCCTCATTACACTAAGGTCATCATGCCCATATCTTTGATTCATTACTGTTTGATGGGAGATGCATTGGCTCTGCTTACAACCAGATTTTTCCATGTCACACTGTGTGTGTGTGTGTGTGTGTGTGTGTGTGTGTGTGTGTGTGTGTGTGTTTGTATGCACTTTGATGTGGGAGTAGATGACTTGGAAGAAGCCTATCAGACACTGCAGCAGGTAGTGAAGGAGTACCTGTTGCTAGAGGAGCAGGAAGAAGGAGAGGACAACAACAGAGGTTCCCCTGACAACACGTCCACAGGTGTGTTAGGTTGTTAAGATCATCATTAGCAGTCTCAAAGTGTTAGGGGGCCTATTTTCTGAAGCAAGACACTGGGTGCAACTTTTTAATTAATGGAGCAATTCACTGTTTACATCTCAATGTTCAAGTGTCAGGAAGTATTACAGTAAAACAGATGTATAAGATCTTTGGTAGCTTTGTTAAGTCTGAAAAAATATGTTGGTCACATCCACACTGTTGCATTTTCTTTTAAAAAGCTGTTTTAAAATGAAAATGATCTTCATTCACAAAAGCGTTGAGAACCATTTCAGAAATACACTCCACCCATACCTGGCCCACAGGAAGTGGCCATGGCCTTACATTGGAAAACAGACTTCTGTAAATCAGTGAAAACATCCTTTTAGCGTCACAACTAGGGATGTTCCTGGCAACTAATTTCCCTGTCGACTAAACAAAATTTTTGATTAAGACTTGTCAACTAGTGCACAGTCTTCAGCAACCTCTGTAGTACAAGACAATTTGCACCATGCAGTACGAATGTGAACATGACGGCAACTCAGTCAAAAGTTAACCAAAAGTTAGCCCATAAAATTTCCTCTGAAATGTGGGGCACATTGAACCTTGCAGATTATCCGACAAAGATGATAGTAATTCACTTTAAAGTTAATAAAACAACAACAAAATTGTAATTAAATTTCAGCTGAAATGAGGCATTTTGTGCCGTTCAGTATGAATGTAAACCCTGCACATTATCTGACAACAAATACAAACATCCAAATTCTTGAATTGAATGTGGTTGTGCATTGTTCAAGTTGAGCCAGTTTATTTTCTGACACAGCCTACATGCTACCTTGTTTTCATTTTCTAGATCAAAGTACTGCCAAACCGCGCTGGTTTTGCGAGTCTCTCCAATTTCCCACCATGCTGTTTTAAAACTCCAGTTTACTCGAGCATTACCGTGGGGAGGGGGACTGCTGTCTGACGGCTGTTTAATGGACTAATCGCGCGCATCACTAGTCACAACCACCAATGAATGACTCACTTCACTATCAGGATTTGATACATTTAGTTTGTTAGCATTCGAAAGTGAAGAAGAGCGACACATTATTTTATTTGCGTTCAGGTTAACAGAGAGCTAACCTGGAAGTTAGCTGCTGTGCCAGGGAAGTTAGCCGCTTGACTCGCAAAATTCTGTAGTGCGCTGACTCTTTGGGTTCAACAGTGCAGAAGAGCTGGGTAAATTTACACCTGTGAAGTCAGACTTTTTTGGCTTCATGTCCCACTGAGTAGTTTTAATAGGAATGAGTGGGGCCCTGCCTCAATCGCTGTGTCCAGTTCTCCTTGTACATCCATGTTCCATACTAACACGGCTGAAAACGGATGTCTTGTGACAATTTATGTACACTGGGCATGCATGTGCCAGTATAAGCAGGAAGCAGATTGTCTACTCTGCGGTTGGTAGATTCGTTTTTCATGCTATACACAGAGTATATACATCTTCTGCTGGTATGTTCAGCTGTAACCATTATACACAGGATTGCGCAGTATTGATTCACACTGTCTCTTTCGCTCTCAGGTCACGAGCCAGAGGAGAGGCCACCCTCGCCACCCCTGTCGAGGTCAGGATCAGGTTCACTCATGTCACACTCTGCCACAGCCCTCGACCCCTCTGATCCATCTTACAGAAACTACCTTACCAAGATCCAGGCACAGCTCAGCCCTCAGAAGAGCCCCGCTGTGAGTAACAAGATGTCTGATGAAAAATTTATTGGTAATGAAGACTGTAAGTGAATGTTAAACAGACATCTAGACTGTAACAAATTTATGGGAAAATAATCCTCCCTGCCATACATCATCACTCACCCATCCCACTCCCTCCCCCCCGTCTCCTCTCCCTTTTAATCACTCCTGTTTTTCACCTGCAACTCCTGTTCGTCTCCCCTTCCTCTCACCTTTCTCCTCCTCCTCTCTGTTTGTCTCTCCTCTGCAGGAGCTAGCTTCCATCAGGAGGCGTGAGCAGCTGGTCAGAGAGGCTTTAGTGGGGAAGAGTCCAGGGGTCTACAGCCAGCTCTTCAAAAGGTTCATTATAAGCAGCGTGCACTCCAATGCTTTCCAATGCTTAATTTCAAGTGGGCACTCTCGGCTGGGCCAAATTGGTTTAAATTGTGCACTTGTCCTAACTGCGTTTTGATGGTTTGTTTTGGGTTTATTGTTTGACCTAGAGGGTGAAGTGGCAGGTGGCCGAATTATTTGAATCTGAGTGTTTGTTCATATGATGAGCTCGTGAAGTGGCTCTCTCTGCTCAATGGTCCTAAAATATACCTGTTATGACTACTCTAAATCTGAATGAAAAAAACCTTGATGTGAAATTGGTTTTCCGTATGATTTATACTTGTGAAGAAGAATGATTGAATTTTATTTTTGTTTACCTCAGCTCTGCACAAACAGCACCGTCATCTCTGCAGAATCCTGATGCTCATTTAAGTGACGACAGCAGGTAAGAACACACACATACAGGTGCTCACATTCCACCAATGCAGTCGAAAGTAACGAGTCAAGCCAGATGTTAGCGTGTGAGAACAGATTTATTGATATACTTCAAAGTCATGTAAGATTTCACTTTTTATGGTTTCTAAATTCATAATAATAATAGCATTTTGATTTAAGATGAGGTGAAAGAATCCGGAGCAAGTCTTGCGGTTTCATAAAAACAATCCGAAACTGAAGATTTAGGAGCAGGAAACTGCTTTTTGTAGTAGTTTTCTTTCTCCCGAGGCCTGTTTTTACAACATATGTTCACTTTTATAGAGCTCATTCTGCGAGTACATGCCATGTGGGGACAAATCCAAACGCACATGCACAGACACACACTTGCTTACACACAAATACACTCACTCATAAATTCAGATTTTATGGCTTTTTGACTCCCCTGTGTGAACACTTACTCTCAATAAACAGTCATACTGCACAAATATTGATTTAATCAGACATTGACATAGTGTGTGTGGTTATGTGTGTGTGTCGTACGTTGCAGCAGCACACACAGCTTTTTCACACTGTTACAAATTAGCATCAATTTATTGGATTAGTCTCAAAAGAAGACATTTAAAATACCTACAGAGATACAGTGAAGTCGAAATTAATTTGCTCCCTTCGGGTTCATGTTCTCAGAAAGAGTTTCAGCAAAGTTGTTGAGAATTTTACAAGTTCTGTCAGTGCGGTCTGAGTGATACATGCAGCCAGTATGTACTGTAAGCATTACTCAGCCCTTCAGTATTTCTATAGACGATTCCAGACATCTGTCTACTGGTTGGCAGCGCTCTTAATAGGGATGTGTCTTTACTTGTGTGTCTGTCTCACGCATATTAACAGAGGATCCTTTTGTATTTCTCTGATAGGATTTTAAGGTAGTCTTGTGTGTGTGTGTGTGTGTGTGTGTGTGTGTGTGTGTGTGTGTGTGTGAGAGTGAGTGAGAGAGAGAGAGAGAGAGAGAGAGTGTGTGTGTGCTTCTAGCATCATAAATGCCTAAATTAAATGACAAAAATCTTTACCTCTGTGTTTATGAAAGGCTCAGTTCACCCCCATAATCAAAATGACATGTTTGTCCTCCTGCCAGTAGTGCTGTTTATCAATCAAAATTATTTTGTGAGTTGCTGAGAGAGATAATAATGATATAATAATGATAATAATATATTATTATATATATTATTTGTATAGCACTTATCTAAACAAAGAGCTTCACAAAGTGCATAGAAATAAGACAACAAAACAGTACAAAGGAAATAAATCACAAAAGTACAAATCAGGCATTTAAAGGGAAAGCTTTCCTATAAAGATATATTTTAAACAGTTATTTAAAAACAGATAATGTGCTAGCTAGCCTAATCTCCTCAGGCAGGGAATTACAGAGCCTCGGGCCTTCGATGGCAAAAGCTCGGTCACCTGTAGCTACCAGCCTTGATCTAGGGATGGCTAGTGAGGGTAGGCTTAAGGATCTCAGGTCAAGACTTGGAGCATAGGTTGTCAGAAGCTCAGCTATATAACTCGGCGCTAAACTATGTTGAGCTTTAAAAGTTATTAAAAGAAGAAGATGTCTGCCTTCTCTCCAGTATAATGGAACCTGAAGGTACTGGTGGATGGCTCCCTCTGGGATGGGAGAGAGTTGCTGTCCTGAGCAAAGGAGTAAGATGAAGCGTGAGATGGACAGGTGGTTTGGTGCAGCATCAGCAATGATGTGGGCTTTGCGCTGGACCATCGTGGTGAAGAGGGAGCTAAGCTGGAAGGTTAAGCTTTCGATTTACAGGTCAATCTACATTGCAACCCTCACCTATTGTTCTAAGCTTTAGGTAGTGACCGGAAGAGTCAGATTGCAGATACAAGCGGCTGCAGTAAGGCTCCTCCGTAGGATTTCTAGACTCTAGAGAACTTGGACTACAGCAGCTGTTCCTTCACTTTGATAGGCGCTAGCTGAGTTGGTTCAGTCATCTGATAAGGATGAAAATGGATGGATTGCACTCGGCTTTTGACGCTCACACAACAAAAACATACATTTAAAACATTCAACAGCAATGTCTCTTTCCAGAAATCATGACCCGGTTACTCAAGATAATCCAGAGACCTTGTTGTGAACACGTTCATGTAGGAGCTATTTTCATTCTACCGAACTACACCTGCCAACTGCATCACTGCACAGAAGGAAGTGTGCATCTACTGCTAGCTCACCTAGCACCACTGAGCTAGCTAACATCGCAGTTCAGCCAAGGAGGACACTGTTAATGTTTACATCTCGCACCATCATGAGCACAAGTCTCTCGCCCATGAGTGGATGCACATTACTTTTTTCATGTTGAGAGTGCCATCTATTTCCATTACATTCCAGAGGACATCTCTACAGCCAATACTCAGCAACTCACAGCAAAACAATCTAGATTGATAAATAGCATTACAGGTAAGAGGAATGTTTTGTGATTTGGGGTGAACTGTCCCTTTAACCAGCAGTAGTCATCCCCAAATTAATGTCTCATTATGGATATTAAGACATGCATTGAAAAATACTATCTATGTCAGTCCATCTCGGTGTTCCCAGCATGATAAAACTTCCAAAAGCACATTCTGCTAAATTTTCTTCCAGCGCAAGCTTCTCACTTTCTTTTTTTTTTCTTACTTCGTCTCTGGTCTCTTTTAGTAACCTATTTTTTTTTGTTTCCCTGCACACATCCCACCTACTCACTACATGAACTTCTTCCTCCCTTTTCTTCTCTTGGTCCGTCTCTTTTTCCCTCACCCTCTGTGGATTGTTTTTGCCTCCATCCCATCTTCTCCTCCTTTCACAAGCAGCTCGGATGTGTCTCGTGCCAGTTCAGCTCTAACTGTGCCAAGTTCAGCCGGGGGCTTGTCTGGTTCAGTGGAGCCGCTAGATGTGTCCGTCCTGGGACACACCTTGGAACCACTCAAAGGTTGTTATTGTTTTGTTTTTTTATCATTGTGGGGAATTTCTGTGTTGTTATATATAGATAGTGTAGTGAGGAGAGATTTACAATAGAAGCCAGGGAAAAAGAGTTTAACAAGTAAGTTGTTGTACGCCGTTTTTAGTTTCAACACTTTTCCAAACTATGCAAACTATATTTTTCATGTGTTGTGCATTTTATAGTTTAAAAACAGTCTTTACTGTCTGTAAATCAGGAAAAAAGTACATCTGATTATAAGATAAGTAAGCTAGCTGTATTTAAGTCAAGACATTTGTTGATGTGTTTCCATATTCGTATTTGTATCAACTAAAATTCTCCCATTTCATACTTCATGGCAACAGACCAAAATCCTGAGATCATCTGTCCGGGCACAGGTCAGCCAGATGTTGCCATGTCGTCATCCTCTGATAGACGTCCTGGATCCAGCGTCAAGCCCATCCTGCCACCAATCCCCACCGGGCGCAAGACCCCCGCATCAGCCAGTCCGGCTCCGTCACCCAGACCCAGCTCAAACACAGCAGTCGGTGAAGCATGAGATGTAGACAGGAAGGGATAGCCTTTAAGGTTTTAGGGCTTCTGACATCTAACAAAGTAAAAGTAAATGACTTTTAAAGAATTCGACATAGAATTAGAGTGAGAGTAGAATGGACATTTTCATTCAAGTCAACGTAGCAAGATGGTCACAGTGGTGGCCATTTTTGTGTTAACTGCTGCCAGTGCAACTTCTGTAGAGTGCTAACTTCCATATAAACTTCTGATCAGTAAGGAACTCACTGAGGTGACGTTTTGCAGTGGAGTAATATGTATTTAAATAAGCAGTCTGTTACTTTTCCCATAAAATATTCCCATAATTTATCATTGTTTCTTTTAATAGCATGTAATGTTTGTTTGCATGTAAACTGAAAACTGTAGCTGCCTCCGAAGAACGAGCGAGAGCTGCTCTTCAGCCAACAGCTGATAGACAGAAAGCAGCAAGATGAAGATGAAAGATGCAAATCAGCATATTTCACAACTAACTAACTAACTAACTAGCGGTTTGTTGGAACAAAGGACTAACTAACTAAATGACTGACAAGGATAACTCAAACTAATTTTGTTTAAGTCAAGTTTGAATGTAGTGTGCTCTGCCATGAATTAACAAGACAGTTACGCTAACGTTAGCTCAGTGAAAGGGAGTAACTTGGATTGGTGTACGGTTGAATTTTTCTCTTTAATAAGACAAAAAGTCAGTCCCTCCAAGATTTTGCAGGCTGTTTTGGGGATTGTTGCAGCCAGAAATGTATGATTTCACAACAGCTTTTCTAAAAAGAATTTGATCAATGTTGTAATGTTATAGGTGTTTCTTTGCAATGAAATTGTAAGGGCAACTGAAAATTGCAAAAATAGTTGTGATGCTGTCAAGGCGTATTCAGTGTTTCCCACAGAATTAAAATATATATGTGGTGATGGGGGCAGGTGAGGGGGAGGGAGGGCAGCAACAGCTGTTAATGCCGTTGACGCAGCACCAAATGATTGTCCCCGTGAGAGGCTCTCCTGCTGCTCTGTCTGCCTTGTTAGCACAAGCTAACAGCACAACGTGATCTCATCACTACTCGTCATATTTTTCTGCTTGGGCAGAAGCCTCGCAGCTCATTAAAATCTGACACTGAGCAGTTAATCTCAAACTGAAACGGCTTATCTCTGTCGTTATCCTTGTTGACAACAATTGGGTAATGTTAGCTATGTGATGCTAACAGTTAGCCCTGACACTGTATGTGTGTGACTCTGTCCCAGGCACAGAACTCCCGCAACAGAAGGTGGGGCTGGGTGAATCAATAAGCTGCACACAGCTCTACAATAAAATTAGATTTCACCCCTTTTAAATGGTCAAATCTGTGGTCAAGTTGCGGTGATTGGACAAAAATTGCAAGGTCACACATAATTCATGGGGATTGGCTGAGTTTGCTTTACTTGTTGAGGTCGCAGCATCGCAACATCTTGAAGGGACTGAATAGGTGTAAGAATAGGCCAAAACTGAGTTCTCAAATTAGTGATCAGACACACTTTACGGCCCGACTGACATGTGTTGTCACCATTAACGATAGTCGCCATTTTCTTTTGTACCAGTCAAATGACCACCGCAAACATTTCAATGTCCTATCTACTCTCAATCTGTTTCTAAGGAGTACAGTTTGTAATCATAAAATGAAATGAGATTAAAAGATAAAAATATAGAGTTTAAAGTATAAGCTTGGTCTGTTAAATTTAAAGAACAAAGGTCTGTACCTGCATAAATAAATAGTCAATCACAAAACCACACGTTTGTTGCTATCTCACCACAAAATACTCAGATTGTGTTACGTGATACGTCCAAGCCAAACACTTGAGGTTAGCTCTCACTGTCAGCACTTGTCTTTTCCTGCGAGCTGCTACTCATGCCGCAGCACGTCTGGATCTTTTGCACTCACTATAGACATGATAACTGTTGGTGTTAATGACCATACATATATATATATATATATATATATATATACACATATATATATAACATGACTACAGTGTAATTATAAAGATGTGCTTTTCCTCTTTGTAGTGTATTCCTGGCGTATTGACCTGAAGGTGTACAGTGTTGACACACATTATAATTCAGGCTCACACAGAGTGACAAGCATGTCTTTCAGGCATGATAAATATAGTAGTGTTGTTAAAGACAACTGCTCTTTTTTTTTTTTCACATCAATGTGCTCAGATTCCTGACTGGAGGAGGTATCTGCTCGTCTCGGCAAAGTTCATGTCTACAAAGTATGTGGTACACGTCATGTTTTATGAACGTAGCATTAATTTTCCTGACAGTGAAGTGGCATTATATTTCCTACTGTTCAGTAATCTCATCAAATGGGATCCGCCATTGACATCCAGATACTGATCTTTTATGTGCAGCATGGAGCTCTTGTCATTGGATGATAAATACATCATTAATCTTTATCTCCTCTGATGGGATTATTTATTCAACTGGAAACACGTTCATATGGAAGTTGTTGACAGGTATTAAACAGGGAGCCATCACAAACAACTTAGTGTGTTTTTGTCAGATTGTGTGCGTGTGTGTGTTGCCCACAGCCATTCGTATGTGTGCAGCCGTGTGTTTGTGAATTTTTCACAGTGTTCATTTTGATTCATCGTAAATTGGAATTGTCAGCTGTCACAGATGTATGCATTGCTTATTTAACCAGTGCCTCAGCCGGTGTGCTTGTAGGTGCATGTGAATGTGCACATACAATACTGTGAGCGGGGATTCTGCACACACACACACACACACACACACACACACACATTCTGAACACACCTGGCCATCCATCACTGTCTGTCTTCCTCTCAGGCAGCAGATGTTGCAACACTGTCATAATTCTTTGGCAGTTTGAAACCAGACAGTGTCTTTAGGGCCCCTGGGGTCTAACCTACTTACACCGCAGTCTGCTCCCCTTACTATAGCTTATCATGGACTAACATGTTGTCTCCCTGCACATTTACATAACACTGGATACAGCTATGATAAAGTCTGCAGAAGACTTTAAGCCTGTTAAAAGAGAAGTATAACATAAGGTAGAGATAAGAGTTTGACTGACTGGGATTTTTACCTCTTGTCAATGGGGATGTGTCAACACATTTACCCCCTGATGATCCACACTTACAGAAATGCATGCCTTTGTCTCTGCTTGTCAATCTGTTTCTCATGGAACCACACCTGTCCCTGTCTGTCTTTGTGCCTACCTGTTTGCAGTGTTAGATTGCAAGAAACTATACAGTAAATCTAATGGTTACATATTTTTGTGCCTTCCCATAACAGTGATGTAACTCGTGCAGTTATCTGTAATAGCAACAGCTGTATTTCTCCCTCTCTGCCGGTTTCTATGCATCATAAACCATCGTGAAACATCGTCCGTGACAAAGAAAGTTTAAACAGTATGCGTGTACAACGCACCGTGCTGTCTACCGAACCACTCGTCTTCCCTCACTTCACCAGCTGCTGAAAAATAAACATGTCACACACTTTCATCTTGACATAACTCCTCAAGACAGCAACACTTTTCACCAAAGAGGAGAGGAGAGAACATTTTCTGTGAGAAACAAAGACGTGCTTGCATCTAAGATTTATGTCTGCAGGAAAGAGTTGTTATGGCAGAGATATGCAGGAGCACGTTATCAATTTTCACAAAGCTGAAGTGCCTAATGTTTTGAATTAATTTTTTATGATATTTGTAAGACTTAAGCTACAGAAGGAAAGAGCATTAATCTATATTTTAAATCCAGGAGGGATGCTGTGTGAAATAACAAAAATGGGAAGAAATAACAGAAATCGGAAACTTTGAGCTTTTCAGTTTGACTGACTGCGCAGATATCACCATGGGCAGATAATGATACTGTGGGCCCCTGGGTATAGACATGCAGAAGGCCACACCAGTTCTCCCACACAGGAGCACACACCTAGACACACAGATTCTATAGTTTTTACTCTCTTTTTGTTGTTGTTTTGCATGTCTTTGTTGTTACGCATCTCTCTGTGGTAATTTCATCTCACTATAGTTGTTTTGTCTGTGGTTGTTTTGCCCTTTTGTAGTTATTGAGAGTCTCTTTGCAGCTGTTTTGCATTACTTTATCGTCATTTTCAGTCTCTGTAGTTATTTCGCATCTCTTCTTCATCATTTTTAGGCTCGTAGTCATTTTGCATTACTTTGTAGTCATTTTGTGTCTCTGTAGTTTTTTTGAATCAGTTTGTGGTAATTTTGTGTCTCTTTATAGTCATTTCGCATCTCTTTGTAGTCATTTACAGTCTCTGTAGCCATTTTGTGTCTCTTTGTAGTCATTTTCAATCTTTTTGTAGTCATTTTGCATCTCTACGTTTTCAGGCTTTTGTGATCATTTTGTGTCTTCGTAGTGATTTTCAGTCTCTTTATAGTCATTTTGAGTCTCTTTGTAGTCGTTTTGTGTCTCTTTATAGTCATTTTGTGTCTCTTTGTAGACATTTTCAGTCTCTTTGTAGCCATTTTGTGTCTCTTTGTAGTCATTTTCAGTCTTTTTGTAGTCATTTTCAGCCTCTGTACTTTGAGTCTCTTTATAGTCATTTTGTGTTTCTGTAGACATTTCCAGTCTCTTTGTGGTCATTTTGTTTCTCTTTGTAGTCATTTTGCATCTATTTGAAGTTGTTTTGTATCTCTGTGGTTGTTTTGCCCCTGTTTGTAGTTACTGAGAGTCTCTTTGCAGCTGTTTTGCATTTCTTTGTAGTCATTTTGTGTCTCTTTGTAGTGACTTTGAATCAGCTTGTGGTCATTTTGTGTCTCTTTGTAGTTATTTTGAATCAGTTTGTGGTCATTTTGTGTCTCTTTGTAGTTATTTTGAATCAGTTTGTGGTCATTTTGTGTGTCTTTGTAGTCAGTTTGAATCTCTTTTTGGTCATTTTCAGTCTTTTTGTAGTCATTTCGCATCTCTGTAGTCAGTTGAAATCTCTGTAGTCATTTTCAGTCCTAATGTAGTCGTTTTGCATCTCTTTTTAGTCGTTTACAGTCTCTGTAGCCATTTTGTGTCTCTTTGTAGTCATTTTGCATCTCATTTTAAGTTTTCAGGCTCTTTGTGGTCATTTTGTGTCTTCGTAGTGATTTCCAGTCTCTTTATAGTCATTTTGTGTCTCTTTGTAGTCATTTTGCATCTCTTTTTAATAATTTTGGGCTCTTTGTGGTCATTTTGTGTCTCTTTGTTGTCATTTTCAGTCTCTTTGTAGTCATTTTTGCATCTATTTGTAGTCATTTTGTGTCTGTGGTTGTTTTTCCCCTATTTGTAGTTATTGAGAGTCTCTTTGCAGGTGTTTTGCATTTCTTTGTAGTAATTTTGTGTCGCTTTGTAGTCGTTCTGAGTCAGTTTGTGGTCATTTTGTGTCCCTTTGTAGTCATTCTGAGTCAGTTTGTGGTCATTTTGTGTCACTTTGTAGTCAGTTGAAATCTCTTTGTAGTCATTTTCAGTCTTTTTGTAGTCATTTTGCATCTCTTTTTAATAGTTTTCAGGCTCTTTGTGGTCATTTTGTGTCTTCATAGTGATTTTCAGTCTCTTTATAGTCATTTTGTGTCTCTTTGTAGTCGTTTTGAGTCTCTTTATAGTCATTTTGTGTCTCTGTAGTCATTTGTAGACATTTTCAGTCTTCTGAAGATAGAAATGATCTCCTAAAATGTTACCAGTCTGCACTGTAAGAAATTGTCTTTAGACAGCTAATGTATTCAGTCATGTTCAGCAGTCGGCTTCTGTTTAATAAAACGAAACTGTTACATTGCCAGAGCTATTTCCACACTCCCATTCACTATGCCAACACAACACAGGATAAAGCTGAACCCGCTGTCATTCTGAGAGAATGGGTTGTTTGAACTTTTTAGAAACTA